TCCTCAACATGCAAGCCTCGCATATAACTGGAAGCCAGTTGATGGCATGATCTTGCATGACCAGCCGCCGATGCAGCCTCGAGTCGCTATCAAGTCCTAGTTCACGGTGCCATCGTGAGGATCGCACATGCTCCAACCTAGTCTAGCAGCCTAGAAGATTTGCCAGCTCCTCTGGCGTCAAGGTGCTTTTTCTCCTCTTTGGCCTCCCACTGATTCGTGTCTTGACAGGAGATCTAGGTGCCCGCTTCTTAGGGTTTTCGTCGGACACTTCGGTGCTTTCGTCCGTCTTCTTGGTGGAGATGTCTCCGTCGGTTACAGCGGCTGCTTCCGCGGCCTCTCGTAACTTGTCTTGGACCGACAGCTTCGGCGATCGCTCGTCGGGATGGGCACGTGGGCTCGACAAGCGCTTCTTGGTCTGTCGTAGATTGTCAGATCTGTTGAGGGATGGGTGTGGTGCTGATGGGCTGGAGATTGTGGAGGGAGTAGAGGGAAAGATGTCACAACGTACATGGCGTGGTCTGTCTTGACTCGTTGGTCTTGAGGCTCGTTCTTCAGAACGAGGTGGTTTGGCTGCAGAGGTTGGCCGACTAGCCTTCTCTGCATCGACTAGATCTATCCCAGACGTGTCTGCGTTCTCCCCGTCCACCTGAGATGGCGTGTTCGGGATAGACGCTGAGAAGGCGACTTTGCGGGGCGATCGACTAGGCGACTTGTTGCCGTTGGTCTCCCTCAGCGCTGGCTGGCTGGGTTGCAACTTGATGCTGAAGACATCGGGCCCAGTTGTCTTGTCTGGTCTCGCGTGTGGCTTGGGTGAGGGCAGGTAGACGGCCTCCTCTTGCTCTTCTGTATTGTCCACGTCTTCTTCTAAGGCTGAGCTTGCAGCTTCCTCGGCCTCGCTTTCTTCATCGATCACGGAGAATCCTTCCCTGTCGACTGTCTCGAACCCTTCGCCAAATCCTAGTCCCATCCTCAGCTCCTCGAGATTGATGGTGTCGCCATTGGTCATGCGCTTTCGCCAGGAGTCCATGAGGAGGAACGACTCGCGCAGCCGAGCCTCCATCTTCTCCCAGCCCGCCCGCAGCCTGTGTATCTCCTCCTCGCGCATCTCGACCTCGTCCACTGCTACAAAGTTTGGATTTGTGAGGAGGTTCTTCAGGTTGTCCAAGACCGTGTCCATGTCGTCGGCGAGAGTCTCGTAGTCGGTAGGCAGCGTGTGCAGCATGTCCTGTTGCGTGTCGTCTTGCTCGTCGCCCGCGACCGAGGCGTCGTCTGCGTCTTGTTTGCGATTGACTTCGGGCATGCCTTGTAGCTCTCGCAGTGTCACCAGGGCGCTCCGCACGAGGCCGATGAGGTTGTCGTTCTCGTCGCTCAAGCTCTGACTCAGCTGCGTCAAGAACTCGGTCGTCTCCTGCTTCAGGCTGTATTCGGGGTCGTCGACATTGGGCGATTCGTCGCGCGCATGGCCAGTAGCGGCGCCCAAGCCCGTGCTGCCGGGGTTGATGGTGATGCTTGCGCCGACGAGGCCCGTCTTGTTGCCGCGCTGCTGGCTCGTCAGGTGGCTCTTGAGCCGTGCAATCTCCTTGTCGCGCTTGCGCACGTCGTTGGTGCAGCTGGTGCGCACTTGGTCGACCGTCGTCTTGAGGCGCTGCATCTCGGCGCGCAGCTTCCGCGCCGACGACTCGGCCGTGTGCAGGGCTTTGCGCGCCGACTGCTCTTGCGCCTGGGCGAGCGAGAGCTGTCGCGAGAGGTCGGCATTGCGGTTGTGCTGCTTCTCGAGGGCGGCCGTCTGGCGCGTCGACTCGGCGCGCAGGCTTCGCAGCGTGTCGGCGCTGGATTCGCGGTATTCCTGGTCGCGCTATCTGCTCATTAGGACCCTCTCCACCAGAACGTAAACGTGCATGTGCCTACATCGCGCTTCAATATCAGGTCGTGCACCAGGTTGATGATCTGGGCCATGGTGGCCTCTTTTCCCCCTTCTCCCCTCGACGGATGCGCGAACTCAATGGGCGTGCCATTGCGCAACAACCCCCGCGCAAGCAGCAGGTTGTTGATGTACGTCGACGCCGTCTTGAGATTGTACGAGTCCATGGTGAGTGCAGCCGTCGTAGTCGGCTACCGGCGGCGTCGTCGGATGTGGCGGCGTTGTGAGCTTGTCGGCCACTGTTTGTTTATCCCTGGGTTCCGATGCCCAGGTAGGAGGTAGAAGGAGCAACCGAACAAGCACGGACCTACGCGTTCCGATCCTTCCGCCACGACTCCATGCAATGTCGACGTGATACGACGACGTCCACCTTCAGCTAGCCCGTCACAGCCGTGCATGCAGCCTCTTCGTGTCCTTCTCGCATCATCACCATCGTTGCATCCGCCTGCACCCGGCTTCACCTCCACTCGCGCTTCAGCAATTATCGTGATTACAAGCGACATACATATACTTCTCTAGCGTATCTGTGCGTGCCTCTCGTTTCGCATGGCCCAGAAGTTTAATGCCACAGACGTGTTTTTCCCCTGAGGTCGGACTCGGACTCGGTCCCACCATCAGCGCACCCCACCATGACCGTCGATGACAATTATACGCACTGCTTGTCTGACAAACCTTCGGGTTCCGAGACTGCCAGTCCTGCAATTCGGCACTCAAGTACCGTTTCCAATACTGGGCTCGCCTTATCCTATCCAGGCTAAATACCCATTCCAGCAAACCATATAGTTTTACGACGGTGTGCGTCGATTCCCCTCAAATGTCGGGCCCATTGCCGTAAGCTTCGCAGGGACTCACACATGATCTGCACTCAATTCCTTATTTCATGCGTCGCCATTGGAGGGGGTTTGCCGTATTTTACGATTCTTCCACGCGACCTGCCCTAGCCATGGTTCTCCCCAGCTTGTGTACATGTGCTGCTCTCTGCATGGCTGCCATGGCGTCCGGAACCGAGACCGGGGACAGCTAAACCTAACGTCGAAGAAGCCCACATTGTAGTACTTAAGGCACATCGCTCATCAAGAGGTGGTCTGTAGGCTGCGTTCGTTCTTCTGCGCTTTCGTCCATCTTTCGCTCGTTCCTTACACTCATTCACTTCCAGACATGGACAAGTTCACCTCTCTCGCTCTTGCGACTCTCCTGTTAGGAGCCCAATCCGCCTTTGGTATTCCCACAGAGGCCACTACCAAAGCGTGTAACGAAATCAACAATGCTCTTCCAGGAAAAGTCCTCACTCCGGGGCTTCTCAAGCTCGAATACGCACATGAGACGCAGCAATACTGGGCTACCAATCTCCGCGAAGTCGATCCTGCATGCATCGTTCAACCAGACTCTGCCCAAGATGTGTCCATTGCTATCAAGATATTGAACAAGTACCCGACTGTCAAGCTTGCTACACGGAGCGGAGGTCACGATCCAAACAAGCAACATGCTGCGGTCCAAGACGGTGTTCTCATCGCCATGACCAATCTAGTCGGAGCGACGTACGACGCAGCAGAGGATGTTGCATACGTCCGACCCGGTGGCGAATGGAACGACGTCATTGGCGACCTCGAGAAGAGCGGCGTGGCAATCGCTGGAGGACGACTCGGTCTCGTCGGTGTCGCTGGTCTGCTGCTGGGTGGAGGTCTTTCATTCCTCGGTGCTCAAGAGGGTCTTGCAGCCGATGTCAGTTTTTCGCTATATGCAAAGGGCAGCTATGCTAACAAGCGATAGAACATCATCGAATGGGAGACTGTTATGGCGAACGGGTCTGTCGTCAACGTCAACGCCGCAAAGCATCCCGACCTTGCGCAAGCTATGCGTGGTTCCGGTAGCCAGTTCGGTATTGTCACCCAGTTCAAGACTAAAGTCCATCACATGGGCGACGTCTGGGGTGGCTCGTGTGTCTTCGACGACTCAAAATCCGACGCACTATACGCTGCTTTGCACAACTTCATGGCACACGGTGCCGAAGACCCCAAGGCGGCCATCATTCTTACGGACCTCGTAGTCGCAGCTGGAATCAAGACGAAAATTCTCTTTTCCTTTTACGACAACCCTAAGCCACCTACATCGGGTCCATTTGCCGATTTCTTCAAGATCGTTAACCCTTTGTGTCTACCCAAGACACAAAAGTACTCTGAGCTAGTAAGTCTATAATCTAACTTCAATGTGCCGTACAAGAACTAACAATTCCCAGCTGAAGGCAAACGGCGAGCCAGTCCGACTCTTGAACGCCCGCGCATTCTTCCGTACTTACACTGTCCCATACATTGCATCCCGGCCTCAGATGTACAAGGAGATTCGCGACAAGCTTGCTGAACTCACTGGTATCTTCCTCAACACCCTACCTGTCGTTCGCGCTATCCAGTTCAGCGTTGACTTCCAACCTCTTCCATCCCGCTTTGGAAAGATGTCCGAGTCCAAGGGCGGAAACGCCATGGGACTTTCGTCCTCCGACCCTGACCGCATCATCCTAATTTACCAAGGAGCGTGGAACTTGCCCACAGACGACGCTCTTGCGTTTGGCATCGCCAGGGAATTGACGGCTTGGTTGGACAAGGTCGTGCCTCAATGGATAGCAGAAGCGGGTATGCCAAGCGACATGTACATGCCATTGTTCATCAACGATGCCATGTGGGACCAGCCAGTTTTCCAGAGCTACAAAGATTACAACAAGTTTAAGGCATTGCAGAAGAGTGTTGACCCGAAGGGCTTGTGGAGCACCAGGGCCGGTGGCTTTAAGTATTAGGCCCTTGACGCCAACGTCATTATTATCCAGTACATACAATAATGTGTATTTTAAATATGATCATGTCAATTGCATCTTTCGCACGCTTGCTGCCGTTAGTCAGTCGCATCCTGGGAGCAGAATAGGAAGGTGTTCTTGAAGCAGCGGGGCCACTATACTGAAAGCGGGGTAGTAGTACCCGGGTGTCTGACTCCATCACTACCAGTATGACTGTCTTGCATACACGTCGACTACAAAAGCTCCTTCATCTTCTTGTCTCGCCGCAAATTTCGTATCTACTACCAACGCATGATGGCTCAAACACTCCAGTTCACCAGCTACGAGCATGAAGATGCCTGGGACGTGAATTGGCTGCGGGTGGATGACACCCATGAACTTTACTATCAACAGTTTGGCAAGAAAGACGGAAAGCCTGGTAAAAGTGCCAGCCATGTTGTCCAACTTTCCTGATAGTTAACGCTTTATAGTCATCTACCTCCATGGTGGGCCTGGCGGGAACTGCTCCAAAACCAACACCGTCTTCTTCAACCCCTCTGAATACCGAGTGGTTCTGCTCGACCAGCGAGGCTGTGGTCAATCGCGCCCTAATGCCAGTACAACAGACAACACTACTTGGCATCTCGTCGAAGACATCGAAAAGCTGCGCAAGCATCTGAAGTTTTCCAAATGGCACATGGTCTTTGGTGGCTCCTGGGGATCCACACTCGCTCTAGCATATGCGCAAACACACCCCGATAGTGTAGGTAGTCTAGTCCTGCGCGGCATCTTCACCGTGCGAGACATCGAACTCAAGTGGACCAACCATGCAGGCGGCGCGCAAATGCTGTTTCCCGACCGCTGGGAGGACTTTATCAAGTTTTTACCAGAGGAAGAACGTTCCGATCACATCGGCAACTACCACAAACGCCTCATGTCTTCGGACTCGTCTATCAGTCATCCCGCGGCTGAGGCGTGGAACACGTGGGAGCTATCAATCAGCACCCTGTATCCTGACCCGCACGCGTACAAGAAACTGAAAGAACCAGCCTATCTCCTCGCACATGCTAGGATGGAGATCCACTACTTCATCAACAAAGCATGGATGGAAGACGGGCAGCTGTAAGTCTTGGCTGCACGGAATGCAGATGATTACTGACTTCGTTCTGCAGGCTGAGGAAGGAGAACGTGGACCGGATCCGGAACATTCCGACGACCATCGTGCAGGGCAGGTACGATGTTGTCTGCCCGCCGGTTACAGCGTGGGAGTTGTACAAGCAGTGGCCGGAGAGCAAATTGCACTTCATCGACGACGCTGGGCACAGTGTTATGGAGCCCGGGACGAGAAGGAAGTTGAGTGAAGTGTGCGACGAATACGCGTCTCTGAGCGTCTAGCCCTATGCAGCCGCGGAACCCGTTTTAGGCTAGCGTTATTGTGAGACATCACGATCCGATGAATTTGACGAGAAATTAAGCCGTGCTTGAGCATCGCAGCTTTGGTTTTACGGGCCGTTTATGTGTTGGCTGACTAACGCCAAGACTGCCTGCTAAAGCCCAGAAGACTGCTGGGGCCCGCGCAAACGTCGCACGCAGTACCAGCAGTCTTCATTCTATGTGAGTGACGTAATGGACCATGGCTACGACCGCGCCCATCTCGACCACGACGCCACCCGCAGCTATCGATAACCACGAACGGGTACGCGCATACGAGATCGCCGCGTGAGAATTGCCAGCCGACGTCACATTGCCGATTCCTGTTGCTAATACGGCCCTAGATATCTCTCTGCCGCGTCGTTCCCCTTCCACATCCCAGAAGGACCGCCGTCCGAACCAGTCCCAAGCAGCGACATAACCCTCAACGCCCTCGTCCAGCATGGCGTGCACAAGATGGACTGCGATCGCGCATTCCTTTCGCTCATTGATAATCGAAATCAATTCATATGCGCAGAGATGACGAGGCACCAGTCGCTTTCGAGTGCAGACCCGGCCGAGCCGCTCTTGCTGGGTACTTCCCGAATCGCCCTAGAATGGGGCGTCTGCCCATTCACTATGTGCATCTTCCAGGGCAAACCAGTCCCTATGCCGGAAAGTCCCTATATCATTGCCGACAAGTCGTATTTCTGCATAAAAGACTTTCGCCAGGTTCCCACATTTGCCGAGCGCCCGTTCGTGGCTGGCTACCCGCACATGGTTTCATACCTCGAGATACCGCTGTTTGCAATGTCTGGGCACATATTGGGCAGCTACTGTGTTGTTGACACTAAAGAACGGGACTTTCTGCATCCCAAGTCTCTGAGCACTCTTCGCGAAACTACCTCGGCTATCAGTGCATACCTCGATATGCGACGCGCCGAAGCTTGTAAGTCTCGATCTGCTGAGATGATGCAAGGTCTTCGCCGCTTCGTAGCTTCAGATGACATGGTTCCAAGGTCTGTGGCCCCTGTGCGCCCTGGAGCTCACACAAGCCAATTTGACCTAGATGTTTTTGGCGCCGCCTCGCGAAGAAAACCTGACAAGAAGTTGTCCGACGGTACGAATGCAAGCGTCACCATGTCAGACCATGTCCAGTCATTGCCTGTTTGCGATACATCTGTTATCGTTTCGCCCCAAGATAATGTCTCGAAACGGGTCAAATCTGACTTTGCTACTCAAGTCGACACTCTCTTCATGAGAGCCGCAGATAGTATTGGCGATGCTATGGGTCTGGATGGCCTAGTCTTCTTTGACACTGTTTCAACTGGCGCCCGAAACAAAGGTTGCCAGGTACGAGACATGTCTCCTGACAATACATCTTCGCCAACATGCGATCTCTTTGCGGTACCTCTGTCCTATTACCACAGAGATAACGCCCTCGGAAAGCTGAAATTGCGTCAGTCGCTCATCCAGCGCTTGACTGCCAAGTACCCTCGAGGGCATGTCTTCGCAGTCGATGAACATGGGGTCTTCCAACACGATTGCGATGACGAACTTGACTCTGGTGCGGATGACAGATGGAATGACCTCTTCAGTTTATTGCCAAAGACCCGCTACGTAATATTCCTACCTATGTTTCACTACTCAAGAGAAGCTTGCTACTCTACCTGCCTAGCCTGGGTATCTGACACCGGCAAAACACTTGATACTGGCGATGTCAATTCATTGACAGCTTTCGGTAACTCACTGATGGCTGAGGTCTTTCGCTTAGAAGCATGCGAAAATACACTTTCCAAGTCGGATTTTGTTTCGACCATCAGTCACGAGTTACGAAGTCCCTTGCATGGCATATTGGCCAGCATTGAGCTGATCCAAGAAAACTGCCAGGGATCTGGTTTGATGTCGGAGATCTCCATGATTGAGTCTTGTGCGGTTACTCTTCTCGATACATTTGACCATCTGTTGGAATATTCCAAAGTGAATAGCCGCGCCAGCGTTGGACAAAGAGGCGGAAATGGAGATCCTCGTTCTACCACCCACGTTCATCACGGTGCAGTAGCTGTCGACTTGGCTTCTATGGTCGAAGATGTCATTGGGACTGTTTCCGTAGGTCATGACCATTCTTCGCGCCTCTCTTCTGGACTGAATAAAGAGCGTCAAGATTTGTTGGCTGGATCGCCCGCAACGGCACAAACCGAGCCTGTCGTCGTCACCACACACATTGAAAAGGCCCGTGATTGGACCTTTGTCATTGACAAGGGTGCTTGGAAGCGCATTTTACTTAATGTCGTCAGCAACGCATTGAAGTATACCAAGTCGGGCTACATTCACGTAGGTCTAGCATTTTTGGAGGCTGCCGATGACAGTCAGTCACAAATCAGTCTTTCTGTGACCGACACGGGTGTAGGCATGAGTGAGGATTTCCTCAAGTACCATCTCTTTACACCCTTCACTCAGGAGAATCTACTAAGTCCAGGAACTGGGCTAGGTTTGAGCTTAGTGAAGAGCATCGTGGAGTCACTACACGGAACTATATCAGTCTCCAGTCGTTTGGGCAAGGGAACGAAGATCATCATCAACATTCCGGCTAGTCAAACGACGCAGAGACCAAATGCGCCACGTGGCGAGAACGTCTCATCTCACGAATGCTTACGCGGAAAGGCAATCGGTATGCTCAGTCTCTCTCTACCCGAAGAGCAAGGCAAAGAATTTGCAATCTCTATCGATTCTCCTCCCGAAGCGCTGGAGCGGGCCGTCCAAAATATCTGCGAGGATCGCTTCGGCATGAGGTTCACCCCTGTTTCCACAGACACACTTCAAGTTCTGGATGTACTCCTCATCGATCACCATGCCCTCTCTTCGACACCCACGTACGACTTGAAAACTTTGTTCCCTACGTATACGGGAGGGACTTACCCGGTCATGGTCGACCTGCGCAATATTAAAGGCGCACCTCCCGAATCTGGCACTAGCAAGCCCATGCACACAGTACTAGTCACTGCAAACTCGCTCGGACCTGCACTCATCTCGGCCATGAAGGATGCCACTGCCAAGGAGATGGCAAACCCGGCGCCGTCCATAGAAGTGAGAAGCAGACCTGACATGGAGCCAACAGAGCAATTAGAACATGCCGACACAATCCAAGAGCCAGACCCACAAACCAAAGTACTTCCACACCGCAGCTCATCGTTGCAGCGTGTGACACTAGCCGACGCCGCCACAAGTCCTGCTCTACAAGCACCATTGCCAACACAACCATCTACCCCGCTTACAAGCAGCCCAACATGCCGATTTCGTCGTCTGCTATTGGTAGACGATAACCCCATAAATCTAAAAATGCTTTGCGCCTTTGCAAAACGCCTCGGCGTACCATATTCCAGTGCCACCGACGGCGCAGAAGCGGTGCGTCTCTATCAAACAGCCACTGAGCAAGGGGACGCAAAAGCAAACTATGACTGCATTTTCATGGACATCAGCATGCCAGTCATGGATGGCTTCCAGGCCGTATCAAAGATTCGTGGAATCGAACACGGTTTGATGGAAAAAGGCATACCAAGACAGTCCGATGACGCTGCGAGACATGGTCTAGATGGTACTCTAGAGGATGAGAGAGGTACCCGGGCGTACATCTTCGCATTAACGGGTCTTGGTAGCGAGAAAGCGCGAAAGCAAGCGAAGAATAGCGGTTTTGACGAGTTCCTTCTCAAGCCAGTGAGGTTCAAAGACGTCCTACCGTTGTTGGCACGTCTGCCGACTGCATGAGGGCTATGGGTCATCTGTCGCATTGAATGCAGACTTCGTTATGGGGGCGTTGGTTTCATTTAGTCTATGTAATATGCTGGCGTTCAGATTCTGGGGAAGCTCTACTCAGAGCTTATGGATGTAATAACGATCTTGGGGATGAGGCTTCCGGTAGCACTGCTTGCTCAACATACGAACAATTTCAAAACAGTGACAGCATCCTGAGTGTACGCTACTCACTGACGGTTGTCTTGGTTAGCCTTCATCATGTCTGTCAGTGTTTGCTTCTCCATGTCTTATAGCAAGGCGCTTGTAAGTCGGTTCAACCCCTCCGACGGCAATGAGAGGAGCTACGAAAGCCCGCTCTGTAGTTGCAAAGAACGAAAAAGTAAAGAAACACGGACAGGAGGCTGAAAGTAGAAGGTGCCGTTCTGCTTGGAGGACTAGGAGCTTAGCCTCGACCAAACATCTATAATGGTAGATGCTGTCATGCGGAGGCGCCTCACGACTTCGTGACGCCTGAGGGATAGAGAGCTGGATCGCATTCTTGTTGGCGGAGCTCGATATTGAGGTGACGTTGTGGCGCCGTCACATGGATGAGGACTGTCTCGTCTATGGTCTTTGCTTGACGTTTGTTGGTGCGTTAATGATGGGGTTGGAGTCTGAGCGCCTAGTTGAGGACTACCCAGGCATGTTATATGCACACGCACTTGTAATTGAGGTTCATGGCGAGTCTTCTACTCACTGCTGTACGTAGCCGTAGTCTGTCTGGAGGTCTGTAGAAGTACGGCCGACTTCACAAAAGACTGGCTCGTACATGAAAGAAGCCAGTAAGAATCAAACAGCGTATTGAGCCCGACTCGGTACAACATCAAAGTGAGTGCTGCCCAGTGGCGTCAGGATGTGGAGTTTAGCGTTCTGTGCCAAAGCCTTTCGCCTAGGCACGCGCAAGTTACATGGCAGTGCAGACAGTACGGAACACCCGGCATCGTGCTTTCTACTGGTGTAAATTGCCAACGTGCTTTTTCGTTTTCGTTGCTTTGTTCATGGAGGCTATTTAGGAGTTTGGTAGCTTACAGGGTTGGTCACAACGGTCGCGAGTGAATACCCGCAGCAAATGCGCCTCTGCAATTAGTTGGTGGTTAAGCACAAGCTGGCATCACATCAAGTACGCCGGCAATATACCGGTGGTTTTTGCGGCTAATGGTGTTGGCCTAAGGTACGATCTCACTAAACTTTGAGCTGACGTAGCTATCTGGGAAGGATCGGCCGATTTATACCTATCTGGACATTCACTCTTAATACCATGTCTCTCATTTCCTAATCGACATGTGTTGAGTATTCCGGTCGCTACAAATCAGCAGAAATTGTGCAGCGAAGTCGCCGAAGTTGAGCTACCATGAGAGCACAGGAGCTAGCTCCTCGCCAAAGTATAGGAGCTGTCTGTACGGCTAGTGTCGGCGAGCGTCCGCGACTCAGCGGGCTCGGCATTATTCCGAGCCCTGACTTGGACAAAAGAAACAACAACACATCAGCCGGACCCTTTGTGTTGCTTTTGGCGGACCGCGCCACGCAGCGAACATGTCGCATTTCCCTTTTCCAGGTAGTCACCTGCATGCCGTTGTACATTATGAGACTAGATTGCCATCTACACGAGGGGCAACAAAGGCCTCCACGTGACTTGGCATTGGTTGCGGCCGCTCCGGACACGGAAAAAGCAGATCTGCATAAGGCTCGGCGACCCTACTTCGTTGCTGGGATTTCTGACTGGACGATCGTAGGTGCCTGCTTTTGCATGTTCGGGCGGCTGCATCATCGCACTGATGTTCGACGGCTACGCCCGCAGAAGGATCGCCGACCCGTAGATACCGCTACTACACTACACCCTTTCCAGTGGGGCGCCGCTTGCCAACAAAGAGCTACTAACTGAACAACCTCAGCTGAACTCGGGCACGTCGACAAGAAGCCTTGTTCACAGAAGGTAGCGATCTACTATGCTACTGCAAGGCTAATCTTGGCGCGGTGAAGCGATCGGGGTAGTCTGAGCTCACCCTACAAGTTGGGAAGTGACTTGAGCCCCTTAGCCCTGAGATCGGTTAGTGCTCTCTACCCAATACGGCGTCTCTTGATTCACTGGGAGTAAATTGTTGATCATGTATTAGACGAGAGTAGTGGGAATCGATGATCGCAATGCCATGTGCAGATTCAGCCGCAAAAGCCCCACTCGGCGATGGATTATGGCAGATCTCTCTGCCAGAGACGAGTTTGGTAGACCCTGTCGATAATCACTGTGAGGTAACATCAACCACAATACTGAGAGCAGAGTGGTTACCGACGATAGTTGAAAGCTGCTTCAATATGATGCGATAAAACATGTCAACTCATGCCATACTCCGATCAATGATCTTTTAGGATCAACGTCCAAGAACGTTTTGTCAACTGATTCAGAGGCCTACATGCAAACATCTGCGTGTGTTCGGTCAAGGCAAAGTGGGTTGTAGTGCATAGCCTCACCTGTCATTGAACTTTGTTCTTTCGATAGTAGCGTACGCTACACCACCCACCTTCTGGGTTATGGGCTTGATTGGCATTTCAACGCGGTGTCCAGGAGGATCAGCGAACCTAGTTGTCGTTCAGGACTACGGGAGGCATTTGCTCTGTTGACTCGAGCTTGGCTACATCGCACGTCGGGTATAAAGACACCGCAGTCTCCCATGAAAAGAAGGTATCGCACACCTTCATCTGCAATCATCACTCCTCACTTCTACCATCTACCACCAACAACCGCTTTCACAGCTTCTTCCCACCGCAATCATGGTCTCATTCCGCAACTTCTTCACCGCCGCCTTGGCCTTCTCCGTGCCCATCTCCGCTGCAATCACGCCTGCTGAGGTTGTCACCAACATTAAATCTATTACGACGAAGAGCATGGCGCTTCAGGCGCCGGCCAAAAGCGTCACCATTATCAGTGGACAACTGCTCCTCGTCGGTCAGGGACCATTCCCCGAGATCATTAGGGGCTTCGCAGACATTGTAACTACCGCCACCACCGCCATCGCTCAGATGCAGGGCATGCCCAAAGAGCCCGCAGGCGCTTCTACTGATGCCGTCTTCGAAGCCTTCCGCGAAGTGAGTACCATCTGTTCCACAGATATTCATGTTGCTTACGACGAGAAACAGTTTGTCCGAGTTCATCAAGCGCTGCTCAACATCCTCATTGGCAAGGCCGGTTTGTTCAGTACTGTCCCTTTCGTCGGTGCGCCCGTTGCGGCTGTACTCAGGCAGATCGAGAAGGTCGTTGATGTAAGTCTTTCTTCTCTTGTAGTTTTCACGCCCAGCGCCCGCTCCGATACTATCTGTTGAACTCGAACGTAATTCCTTGAGTCTGCTCGCTAACAGCCTTTCGCAGACGATTGCCTTCATGTTGATTGATACCTTCGAGGCCCGCGCCGCAGACTTCAAGGATGAAGCAGGTGCCCTTTCCGGAACTCTTACTGTTTGCATCAACCAGTACCAAGGCATTGCCACCGGTATCACCAAGAGGAACCTCAGGTTCGCGCGCCGCGAGATGGTTGCTGCTGCTTAGATAGGCTTTCAGCCCAAAGATCACCAGGCGGAAAGCTCTCGGAGCTGAACGATGTCTGTGGATGGAGTGGGGGAGGAGTGTCGAGGACGATGGGCAGTATTTGTAAAACCTTAGAAGGTCTCAGGACAGTCATTACCACATGATTGGCCATGTTTCTGTTTGACAGCTGCGCTTTACGGTCGATTGCATAGTTAATGTAAAGTCACTTTCGTCCAAGAGTCTACCATCACGATATGAGTGTTTTGCATCTATTCCTTGCCTCTGCGCATAAGTCGTAGGAATTAATCACTAGCGCTCTTCTAACACCTCTCATCTCGGGTACATCTCTCTATGTTTATTACTCAGCAAGCGTCAGTGCACTTGCGGGACATCTGGCTGCTGACGTCGATAGAAGCGCCGGGAGACGGGTGGACACATCCTTCGGGCCATGGGTCCTTGAAGAGAAGCCAGCGAAACAAGCACCGATAAACAAACTTTTCATATCTAGTCTCTGTGATGAAGTAGATTATGGGTGGAATGCCTGCTCAAGTGCAACTGAAGAAAGAGCGACACTCTCTTCCGGCCTAGCGCGGTGACATCATCCCTTCCGCTCTCCTTGGCTGCTCCTTCCCTCTTCATTCCTCTGTACATTCACCCAAAGAACACAATGTGTTTCTCTAGGTTCAGTCGTATTCTTTCAATACATGCTCACGTACTACTGTTACTAGTGCGCGGCTAACAGACAGATTTGAGAGCGTAGGCTACATTCTCGTGACCGCAGCTCGTAGAGCGACTCCATAATAGTCGACAATATTCACTGGAGGTCTGACTAAATCGCGGAGTCGTCTTTTGCGCACGGACAGGCTTTATCGCCTACATAGACAGCGGCAGCTTTTGACCTCGGGACCACAACAATTCTGGCTCTCTACGTTCGGTCAACATAAACCCATCCCTCAACCTAGCATCATTTGACTGACCCTCTGGAGACCATATAGGGCAACCGTTCTGATCAGACCACCAGCGAAAAGACAAAATGGACTTGATCGAGCTTCCAGTAGAGCTCCTCAGCCGAGTATGTCGCTTCCTCGGACGAGCGTCGGGTACCAACAACAACAAGTATTCATACAAGAACAGAGACTTTGGATCGCTGCGATCGACATGCAAAGCCATCTACGCTAGGACTGAGTTCGACGCAAGCATTCGGTACGGCCTCCAGGAATGCCGCTTGTATCTCGAGCCGTCGTCGCTTGCTCTCTTCCTACACTTGTCCCGTATCCCCGCCTTCCGCAATCGAATGCTGCGCATAACTGTATGCCCGCTCAAAAAACCCAAGACGATAAGCGACTACGAATGGTATCTGCTACATGAGGACGAGTACAGCTTTGTGAGGTCTAGTGAAGCCGCCCATATGCTCGCCCAATGTTTCCGACAACATCAAGACGCGGAGTCTTTCATG